TGTTGGGTTGTTTTCAATTGGGAAAATTACTTTACATAAATTAGGCTTTACACCATTTTTCGAAAAATATCACTCATCACCGGCTTGAGCTTCAATATCAGGATACATGTATTTATTATCCTTGCAAGAATGGAAGTAGTCATCACACACAGAGCACATGAGACAATGAGTTCCTGAACAGTGTCCTTCAGATGCTTTATATACAAGAGAGGGTGTCACACAGTCACAAGATGGAGGAATACCGGTTCAAAGTAGTATTCAATGTTTAGTTCAGATTAGCTAAGACCCACGTCAGAAATGATCATGCTTGTCATATGTCTATCTCCATAGAGGCTGAATCATCCTGCTCATTGTTGTCACATAGCTATCATAATATGCCTAACACAGTGTGCTGACGCTCTTCTAGGCGATCATACATCCTGTTACGTACACGGCTACAGTTTGGCCTTTGTTATCATCAGCTACTCTGATATTGGAAGAGTACATTTAGTATTTTCCCAACACAGTTGTATGTCACTTTCCCTGTCCTAAACCTTTAATATTGCTGGGTTGTTTTTAATTGTGAAAAATTACTTTATATAAATTGGGCTTTACACCATCAAAACCATTACAAACATGTGGAGAAATAGGAGGGGGAAGATTAACACGAGTAGGGGACCAAAGAAAAAGTATATGTTTTTTCTTTGACAGATTCTTCATAAAATTGACAATCTTGAAGACGAGTATTTAATTAATTTAAGAGGAAAACAACATCAAAACATAGGAAATGCCTGAGGGTGTTTTTTCTGAGTTAGCAGGATTACATTGTTGGATATGAGTGTGTGTCTAAGTGTGTATTGTGGCAGTGTGAGTTTGTGTGCATCCCACACACTGGGCACATTTTGTACAAAATAAGAGAAAGCCACTCTGAAAGAAAGAGTATGAGACTCCACGTCTCCAGATGGTGACTGCGGAGGTGGAGAAAGCGAAAGAAATTCAGAGGCTCAGGTGTTGACTTTGCCATTGTATACTGGAGAGGACACTTCTGTAAAAAGAGGTAAGGGACCATGCCATTAGAAGAGAAATCACCTTTCCTTTGTGTTGGAACAAGAAGAGCACATCATCTACTATAATGCACTAATGTGTCCATATATTCACCGCGTTCCCTCTCTTCACAGCACACAAGTGTCAGTGGAGTGTCTTTGCAAACAGCTTCTTTAATGACAAAATAGCCCTGATATGGCTTGTGATCATACTTACACTTCTACTGCATAGTTAGTGAAGACCATTATGAAAACAGCACGAGGAAGAAGCATGCTGTCATTCCTAATGAAAAAGCAGAATGTGCTGCAAACAGTGTTAAGTGTTATCTGTCGAAAGTGGTGCCTTTTTTTAACAGGGAGTATTTAAAAAAAATGTATTGAAGTAGCATTCAGAGGAGCTAGGAAGAAATGTACCACCCTGTATGACGGCAGTGGTGACTCACTTATTATTGTGTTGCTTAACGACATGTGCTAAAGTCTGTTCTGCTGTGTATGTAAAGGATTTCACTTGCACAACAGCTTTTTAAACAAATCTACTTATAGTGCTGATCAATATATATTGTTTCATTATCGACANTAGTTCCTAAAAACGGGCGCAAAAAGACCTCCCAATAATATATCGGTTTGAGGAGAGTTAGCGATGTGTGGGTCGGTCTCGAAATTCCAGCGCGACTGGTCGAAATTTAGAATGTGATTTCTGAGTGAAGAAGAGAGACCGGAGATCAGACCTCGCCCTCGTGCTGAGTAATGTAAAGGGGACACACACTAAAAAAATAAACATGACAACTTAAACCAACTTATTTTCACAAAAAATAACGTTCTAAAAATAAAATACATGTCCGGTGCAAACCGAGCTGGTTTTTAGCAAATTTACACGATATATTTTTTGAACGCTAAACTAACTATGCTAGTGATGGCATTCGCCACCTGACCATATCTCACGCTTCAGTGCGGGGTACGATGAAGGCCCAAAGTACCCTGGAATAAAGCCCTTTTAATACATATCTCTGCAGTACCTCTCTTTGCATAGAAAGCTAGGGTAAACTTAAATCACGGTGTTTAATGTGTATACTTAAAACAGTTAGAACTTTTTTTATTAAAGGTACAGTTTTTTCAGTCAAAAGCATTTTGACAACTTGATATTTTGATACTTTTTATGCCTTTATCTTTCTGATGTTCAGGGTCTCAGCGCATTGACTACAGTATTGACTGACAGTGTTAACAAAAGGATGAGGCGATTTATATTCGTCTATCATTCTTATTGAAATTGTTCTACGGGACCACACGGAATCATGGTCCAACCAATAGTATTGGTCGTTTACCCAGAACCGAACAATAAAGCGCAAGGGGGGCAGACTACTTTCCCTGGTCGCTCACCGGACCTAGTTCAATCGATGTGGATCGATCAGTCGTTCGTGCAACTCAATCGTAGATGCTCGGAATCGGAACAGTAAAAATAATCGGAATTGTACTTCCACTGTAAATTCATTGGTTTTCAAATTGCCACTTCTCTCATCAGTATAAGAAGCACTTGGGAAACTTCTCATTGACAGTGTAGCCACACTAGTAAGCATCATTATGTGCTAAATTCGGGCCCCTCTTTACGATCTGCGATTGCGATGGTAATCGTAGCGCTAGAAAACATGAAGTACGATGAGACGTGTTTACCAACTGTAATTTGTAAATTTGGTCTAGTCCGTCAAGTCTCTCTTAGTTTCCTCCGTCCGTCCGTCCGTACGGAAGACGTATGTAAGACGACCGCACAAAGTAACACCACTATCCACTCCCATCAGTTGGAGGGAGCAAATCGTTCTGTCATCACTACCGGTAGAACCACTGGCATACAAAAAGGACGCTCTGTCGTCTAACTCAAGTAACTGGCAAAGTGTGTTTTGTGTGTAGGCAAGGATGAAGTGTCAAAATGCTGTGTAAACAAAAAAAACTGACCGTTTTAATAGAAAATTTAACTGTTTTAGTATACACCATTAAGCACGTGTTGGAGTTTGTCCTAGCTTTCTATTAGAAAGAGAGAGGTAACTGACAGTTAGTGTATTAAAAGGCTTTATTCCAGGGTACCTCCAGGTGGCCTTCTCCTCCTGAAGCGGTGAGATATATTCGCAGCCGAAGATGTGTTGCGACTACCTTCAGTCACGAAAGCTTGCCCGTCCCGCGAGGGTAACTGAAACGTAGTGTGAGCGCCTCCCCGGAGTGGAGCGACCTCCCCCTGGAGTTAGGAACGCCTCCCTCCGGCGTTACGCCGCGTGGGATACGCGAATACGCCTGGTTAATACACTGCGCCGTACCAAAGCGGCGACGCTCCGAGTGAAAACGGATAAGAATACGTCCAACAGTTTATTCTTGTTTCTTGAAGCATCGGAATGGTCTGTACTTGGGTTCCCTATGTTATTGACAAATAAATAAAAGGGGTAATCGTTGGTGTCACGCTGTAATTTCGAAGTGAAGAATTAAAAATCAAAGTTTATTTCGGTTGAATTTAATTAAGTCATAGAGAAACGTCACGACGAAAAGTAGTCATTACTTCTAGAAGTTCGGTTGAGACACGCAACGTATTAACTATGTGAAATGATTGTTTCTAAACTGCAGGAGTTAATGTACAGAACATAAAATTTCTAACAAAACATAAAGTCACCCTTGTTCAGGCCCCACTCACGGTGTGTCCCATGAACTTAGTCTGGTTAAATCGCCTGCCTGGTTTTTGACAAACACAAAACAAGGAAAAAGTTTAAACAACCGGAATATTGTACGCATCATATTGTAACAAATAGGGTTGAGTATCGTTGGGAAAAAAACCTCAGAGAAAATAAAATATCTAGAATTTACGATTTAAGTCGTTTAGCTGTAGGATTATTTGTTGGATGTGGTTGGTTCGTCCATAGTTCCAGTCTTTCTGTCTTAAATTTTTGTAAAGACAAAGTCCCTACAGTGAGTGGTCCTTAGCGTTTTTGGGACCATTTCTGGCAGCCTTCGTGGAGAAATAAATTGTCTTTTGAAGACCACCGTTTAAGTTTAGACATTCACAAAGCCGAAAAAGGAAAAGAACGAAAATTCCTTGATTATGCGGGCTAAAATCCTTGATTATGCGATTAAACATGCAGGGTTTTTATGTGATTTTATGCGGTGAAATTACGGGAAGTTGCGAAATATGCGGAAAGTTGCGAAATATGCTAAATATGCGGGGGGAAAGAATAAAAAAATTTTTAAATATTGGGCTGTCTTATTTATTCTCTCTCACACACAACCTGCCACTAACGTTAAAACCCTTTACTATTCAATTAAACACATTCAATGTTTATTCATTGTAAAAGCAATTGGGCTATAATCTCACACACTCACACTTTTTTTTTCTCAACTTTGTGTGGAAAAATGCGGGGATTATGCGGCCTTTTGATAAATATGCGGCCTTTTAAAAATCTGCGCCATTTTGCTGATTATGCGGTAAATTCTGCGATCGCAGAATCGCGTTTTCTGGAGGGTCTATATATAGGCCGGAGCCAGCCCATTTAGGGCTTTGAAAACAAATAAAAGGAGTTTAAAATCAATTCTGAACCGAATTGGTATAGCCATGCGGCCGTGGTATAGTTTGATTTTAGCCTAACGTTAGCTTTTTATTTCTGTCGATTGTATTTACCCTTCAAAAACAAGTATGATTAACGTGTGTTGGCAAAAAAAGTGTATTTTCTGCAATATTGTGCAATCAAATCCCATTGCTTTTAGTCGGGGAAGCCCTTGCAATGCTAACTTCCGGGACGGCCTACAAAAACACATCACCATCGTACCACTCTGTATAGCCATAGGTAGGCCTACAAGTTATAACTTACGGTTTCCATTTGGTTATTTAAGCTTAATTTGATGTTTTTTTTGCAATAAAAGTTATATTTTACAATGAATACAACACGTTATAACACATTACATCCTTCCTTATAACCCTTAGCAAACATTCCTTTTAACGGCACTCACCAAGCAGTTCTGGGCTTCGCTGAATAGCCCCGAGTCTTTGTTTAAAACACTGGAGGCCACAGTGAAGTCTGCAGCACCCAATGCGGTAAAGTATGACCTGCAGTTGGCACCCTGGACATCTTTGATGCTGTAATAAACAGATATGTAAAAAATAAGAAAATGTGTTCTATATTAAGCCGATAAGGGGTTCATTAAAATAAAATGTTTCAAGGAAAACTAACTTTAGGTAGATGAGCATGTCTGATGGATAATCTACAAAGTCCTGAGAGAGGTTTCCTTTGAGCTGGTTGTACATGCACGTCAGCTGTAGAAAATAGTGCATACATTTATTATTACTCAATCAAACAACTAATGTTTTCCTAAATGCAAGACTCTGGTGTTATACATCATATCTATTTCAGTTATCAACTCAGATAAAGGGATATAGTAATTTACCTGTGTTTCCTCCAGCTTCACCTTTGCCCTGCCTTTCCTTGGCCTACAGGAACGGATCAGCCCTCGGACCCTTTTCTTTTTCATTTTCCGCACTGTGTTACATGTGAAGCCTTGCAGAACAGTTGGATTTAGCCTGCAGGGGGAATTTGAAAAAGCACAATAACACAGGTAAATAGACCGTGAAAATTCTTCTGTGGGGAGAAACATTTTTTATTGTGAAAATTGTTCACTTACTTCTCGGTGTCAAAGTCTGTTTCGCCCAGTGACTCAAAAAACATGGCCGCCTAGAAGAACAGACAGAACAATGTCAAAAAGTACTTAATTGATTAATTATCTCTTTAAAGCAACAGGCTACAATATGGTGACTTTGTCCGTGTATATCCTTTGTGTTAGAAAAGCTTGAAGTGTTTTGAGTCCTATATATTATAACCTTGGGTAAAAACATTAAGGAGAGTTACTGTGTATTATATGGCCATTTTTCGCCTTTAGTTGAGTGATTAATGAGTAGAGTCAGAATGAAAACGACAAGCTAAATACGGGTATGAAATAATTAATAATAATGACGTTCCCACAGTTGGAATCGAGCTTGGGAGATTGTATTCATGTGACATTAGTGTATAATCTACTGCATGTATTTCCAGTCTTTGTGACCACCTAAAGTGCTTTCACATATACTAAGTATAATAAGTCAACATTCACCTATTCACATACATCCAGAGGCAGAGGTTGCCATACAAGGTGCCACCTGCTCAGAGACTAACATTCACACAGAAATGTGGGGTTCAGAATCTTAACTACACTTTAAACTTTCAGCTACCAAGGCACTCCAACCCTGGATTAGACTTTGATGTTTATGTTTAATAACAAACATGTTTTGATTTTTTTTAACATTTCAAAGTAAAATGCATCAATCTATATTAATCAAATAAGTATGTGAACATTTCCAATAACCTACCATAGCCAATAACAAATAAATGTAGGCTAACTTATTTTATTTTTGTGGTTAATTTATATCTTATTTCACCAGTTAACATTTATGTATGCATATTTTGTAATCTCTCCAGTTTTAAACAATAGTTGTGGTTTACTGTATACATTGGAATGATTTCAAACCTGTTTTTATTTATCCTAATAATCATAAAGGTGTGCCAAACCGTTTAAGACCCACTGAGATAACTTAGACTAAAGTTAACGAAAATTCGTTTTTTGTGTATTATTTATATTTGTATTTAATCTTGTGGAAGTGCAGATCCCCTGTCCTCAACCAGGGGGTGCTGCAGCACCCTCAGCACCTCTACTTCCCACGCCCCGCTTTTTGGATGTTATTACATGTCTTAATTGAGTCCTCAATTCTGATTGGTTAATTTAGACATTATAGAGTATGGCATATCTGCAGCTTCAGTTTAAATATGTTGTCTGTAGAGCTACGTACTGACCTACTCTCCTGTCCATGTCTTCTTGTTGATCTTACTGATGTCCACAGGCCCAGAGAATACCAGCGAGGAAGATGGAATCTCAGTTGCCATGGCATCGGGGACATTCTGCACCACGCTAGCTGCACTTTGGTCAAGAGAGATGATCTACCAGATCACAGATAAGAGTCAAAATCAGAAATCATCACACAATACTCCTGTAAGTGAGTGAGTACATACAAAACAAGTTTAAGTTCTTGAATGCTATTTTCTGCATATAAACACATTTATATCCCCCGGTATTCTGGAACATGTCTTACAAACAGTATTTCCTGTTACCTCCAGTAAATAGGTAGTCTCCAAATCGACAAGGAATGAAATCTAAATGGCATTCAATGGGTTTATATAGCAATACCTAACTATTTGCTACGTAAATATTTGGGGGAGTTATGTCTACTTGATCATACAATGAAGTCACTATCCCTCTGTGTGTGTTGTAGTCCGAGTTAAAGCAGAACTGGGGAGAGTTTGGCAGAATGGATGGTTATAGCATACAATGTTACTGCACAGCATGCACCTGTATTGTTCATCTTCTGTTTTCTTACGCCAAACTTTTAGAGAAAACCTTCAGTTTGTAAGACAACATATATTTAGTTTCCTTCACACCACTAGTAGCCAATGGACACTGCCCTAAACTTTGTAGTTTGTAGGCTACTCTTTAATATACAGTAGATAAGGCAGGGTATAACAATTATTTTTTTATCTTTGGTCAGCAATGTTGTGAGAGAATCAAAAGTACCTTTTGGACGAAGATCTGTTGGATGACTGTCGGGGCTGCAATCATGTTGTTAACAAAGACAGTGTTCTGAGAGATGCTGGATAGCTCAGTGGCTGGGATATTCTCAATTGTTTTTGAAGGAACTCCAGCAACGAGCGTGCCGAGGGATTCCAGACGCGATCCGACGTTGATCTGTATACATTTATCATTGCCAGAGTCAGTAAATTTCATTAGCAACATTGAAAATCAGAACACTGTTGGGTTTTGAAGCATCTACTTTTTCTTATTACGTGGCTTAGTTGTATACTGGATTCTGATTTTTGACATTCCAGGGTTGTTAATTTTCCCCAGCAAGCCGCTTGTGGAGAAAAGATTGTTGCTAAGGAGAATTAAGGGAATATGTGCAGTCATATCGATCAGCATCATAAATTAGTTATGTAGTATGTAACTGTGTAATCATTGGGATAATATGCAGCGAGAAGTTACAACGACGTGGATTGTAAAGCCCTTACCAAGTACCCTGAAGAAATAATTTTTTGGATAAATATGTTGGCCTGCCGCTGGTTCCAGGTGCTGACTGTGCCGAGGGTGGACAGAGAGGAAACCATCACTGTGGGGGAAAGTGAAGAGATCTTGGTGTTGCTCAGGCCCGAACTTGCACTGCCCAAGGTCGAAAACGTCTCCGGTGTGAAGGTCTCAATATTGGATGCCAGAACAGCTGATACCTGTTTGATGTCAGAGTGGGATGGGGAACGAGTTAAAGATGTGAGCAAGCTTGCAAAGGTAAGTTAACTGTACATACATCTATATTAGATCCAATTTTGCAAAGGGCACAAGTAATGGGATGACGTAATGCAGTTAGCATCAAACCAAAAGTGCAAAGAAGCAGTAAAGTGTAATGTATCTGTATCATATAAGTCTATGAATATTACAGATATAAAAAGCTAAATGATATACAGTATAAAAAGCATTAAAGGGGCAATATTATGCTTTTCGTGTGTTATATAGGTTTAAGTGAATGATCTGCAAAGGCTAAAATCCCAAAGTTCCCCCCAGAGGGAGTTTCTCTTCCACAGATTCCCCCCACTGCCTGAAGTGCCTCGATTATAGTCCTTTGTTTACTTCCATAAAATAGTGACATCACTATGTAACACTCGCACATCTTTTGACTAGCACTGTAATGGCGCTTTTCCACTGCAGGACCTCGCTCGGCTTAGTACGGTATGGCTAGGCCTCGTTAGGCCAGGCTCACTTTATGCCTCGTTTCCATTACAGTTTAGGAACTGGGGTAGTAACTATAGTAACGCAGTGTAGGCGGAGCCGTGAC